CTCATGTAGGAAAAGGAATTAAAGAAAAAATTTAAAAATACTTTGATATTTTTCCCCTGCCCCCCTAATGATCTTTTTCAGCTTCTTCATTTGAACTAAAGACATTAAAAAGACCTTGTATAAAAGAACTAAGTTTAGGAAATTCTCCTTAGGGCCTCTGTGGTGTACAGAAATGCATCTCTTAGTATATTTCTTCATAGAGTTCTTCTTCTCCAGACGTACAGCAATTATGTAGTAGCTGAAAATATCCAAGTTGGAATCTGTAATTGGCTCACTCCGTTTTAACCAAAGTGTGTGTGCCCGTGTGTTTCTAAAAGTTCTGTTGTTGTTGTTTTGGTATTTAGGCCCGACAACAGCAAGCAGAATTGGCCCAGCAAGAATGGCTTCAAATGCAGCAGGCCGCCCAACAAGCGCAGCTTGCTGCTGCCTCCGCCAGTGCATCCAATCAAGCAGGATCTTCTCAGGATGAAGATGATGATGATGACATCTGAAATGTGCCAGCTGAGTTTCTGTTTCCTCCATAAATGATTTCCCCCACAACAAAACAGTGAAAGAATGCTCATCTATAATTTTGTATGCATCTTGGTGGACTTGCCATTGTTATTCTTGGGATGTCTGCTGTTAAGTTTCCTCTGTTGTGTGCTATACATGTGAAAACTGTCTCTTTCAACTATTGAAATGGAAGGTTCAGTATAATATCAATTTTGAATTTTTAATAGTGTTTATGAAATTTTAGATAGCAGTGAATCCTTTATCTGATCAATAAACAGTGTTAACAGAAAACTTCAAGTTTATAAAATAATAGTAAAATTTATACAGAAGCTCTACATCTGCATTTCATTTCCTCTGACCTTTTAACCTAGCTAAAAATTGGGAATTTTAAATTATTTTGGGCATGTGTAATGCAGTGACATTGCATCAGGTTGATAAAAGTAACCATTCAGTTCTGAAGTATCTGAATCTTTTGTCTTTTAAAGTGAGTATATATAAAGGCAATACATATATATATGCTCAGGTAAACCTACTTGTTTAAAAAAAATCTCTCAACAAAGACATTGAAAAACCAAGGAATGGGTTCAGTAGTAGCTGTATAAATTTGATGGATTTAATTTTGATTTTGTTTTCTGTGTGTGTGTGTATTAGTAAAAAATACAGTTTTATTATGGCATAATTCATCTTGAGCTACACTATTACATTTCAGAGACTGCCCCATTTTGAGTATTGCCATGATTCTTAATATTTCACTCCAATAATTGTTAATAGTATTACTTGCTTAGTCCATGTTCATATTATTCAAATATATAGGTGGAACTTGTGAAACCATTGCTTGAGTTCCGTTGATTTAAATGGAAGGTTTGTGAATATTCAGACCTTTGCAGGGGGAAGGGAAAGTTTTTGAGTTTGCTTGCTATAAAAAGTGGGGTTTTGTTTTGTTTTAATTTAACTTGTAGTTGTGGTTTACTTCTTGTTTGTTTTTAGCATTACTTTTTACATTTTCTTGACTAGATGACCTAAAGAGTCCAATGCTACCTTTTGAAATGACGCCATTCTATCTTTCATCAAAATTGAATTATAGCTTAAAATAAAAAGATTGGTTTGAGTTTAAGAAAATGTGACGTAATTTATCAGCACTATATGAAACACAAATAGTTCATTTTAACATAATTGTTAAATGGAAGAAGCTTTATTTGATTTCAGTAATAAAGTGTGGTAGGAATCCTACATGTTGAAGAAATGACATATTGCTTATATTTTGGAAGCAGAAAGGAAGTCACATGCAGTATAACGTAATCTAAATTTCTATGGCCAATTGCCAAACCTTTAAATGTCTATACTTTTACCAAGCCCAAAAATAGTTTGTGACTACCAGGGTTCCAATTTTAAGTGGAAAGTTAAATAATTAAAGTTTATGAGTATTAGAACTCTTAATGATCATATTTGAAATTTATGAAGAAGTGAAATATTGTCAAAACACTTCTTAAATACACTTCCTGATGAAGCAGAAAGGTTAGTTTTATGCTTAAATTGAAGTTGTTTCATGGATGTGTATTTATGAATAACATTAGATAAGATGGAAGGAATTATTTTTTAAAAGTTTAAGTACCAAAGGTAGTCTAGTCTAGAGAAATAATAAAATGATAAAGTGTTGGCTTTTCTAATTTGTACTGTAACATTCTTACACTTTCTATTTTAAGTATATCTGTTTCTTAAGTAAGCAACTTAGATATTTTCCATACTTTTTTTTTCTGATGCAGAGTTCAGGATAATTAATATTTTACTGCATCTGATAATGTATTATATGTTTTGAAACCTAGAGACTTTTCATTTTGACATTCTTGTGATTTCATATGCTGTATTCTTCAAGCAATAAAATTCTGATGTGTTTTATAAATTGTTTTTATATTTAATGAGATATATGGATCAAAGGGAGATTTCTATTAGAATAAAACATGCAAAAGCCAGACCCTGTGTAAAGCAGAAACCTGTCCGAGAAGAACTCAAATATTTTCCACGAACACAAGCAGCTGAAAAGTGGTAAGACTGCAGCCTTTCAAATGTGACAAACCTAGTGCGAGCCAGAGAACTAGGCAGTGCCATCGAGAGC